AGGTAATACTTGCGATGCTCCGTCTTGTAAGATGTGAAGTCACTAAGACATTTATTCCTCAGTTCATATCTCAACACCTTCCAGCATCCTGAGATGCAGAAGTAGGTAGTGTGAGGAATATGACTATGGAGAAATAAACCACAGACCAGGAACGCTCTATAAAGGAGACTTCTTTAAAAGGAGATAGACCCCACAAGGAAAGGATCGTGCCCTGCATTCTTCAGAACAAGCCAAACCTTATGTTTGTTGTAATCTGACACTTGAGCATTGGAAGCAATTCATATTTCTCTTTTACATATAAAGTTACTTCTTCGAGTGCCCCATATCAAGGAGACACTGAAGCAAGTCCAAGCACAGAGTCTGCTACATATCTGTTTCATCAAAGTGACCAGAAGGGGCTGTTGAAGCATTTAGTGTCCTCAGCACTGTTATGTATCAAGCAGAGTGCCATTCTGGTCAGATGCCCTGCGACACGTTACCTTTTCCCTGTGCTGCCAGTGCCCTAAGATTTCTACTGCAATTTAGGAGGTCTACTAAAAGTGCTCTTTGGGAGTGTTTCCGTTTCCCCTTTCCTTTTGTTGGCAGGCATGCTGCTTTCTGTATCACAGAGGGAGGACTGGTAAGCGAGCAGTTCTTGCAGTGCTTCAGTGTTCAGCAGGCCCAGACTGTGACACCTAAAACCATCCAACAGTCCAGATTAAAGGTGACAGGTGGACATGGAGAACATGCAGGCATTGCTGCTTATCCTTAATTGCACTACACAGACACAGGGCAGTGCTGTTCACAGGCTGTTTATCAGCAGTGACCACATACTTCTGCCACCCTCAGATGACCAGACATAGCAAAAGAACTGGGCTGGATCAGCTCTTAACATGTCAGGAGATGTGTGGAGGACTGCAAGTCAGTGCAGCAATGGATCACATGCAGAAGTTATTCTTGCTTGTGGTTGTTACTCATCAGTGATTTTAAGTTCACTATAGTGAATACAGTCGCACTAACAAGGTATAAAGGAGAGACAGAAAGGTTGTGTGTTAAAACAGTAAGAGGGGCTAGAAATGTGTGTCAGCACCTTTCACATAGATGTATAATGGATTCATAGCCCATGCAAGCAGGCAATATCATCTAGACTTGAATACCTCACTGTTCCACAGTGATCTAGTTGAGCAGGGTCACTGGTGTCTGATTTGACAGCTGTTTTCATTCCAAAGCTACCCTGTACTGGGTAACAACTGTTACACAACCAAAAAGAGTCCAAAAACTAAACAGGGCGCATCAAAATAACGATACTTTCTTCTCTATGATCTGTTTTGGGAATAAAGTATACAGGGATTGCTTCTGCATAAATATAAAACTTTCTTTTGATTTTAAACTGATCTGCTATTTTAAGCACAACTAAAAGTCATCACAAGACGGCAAAAACTTCCATTAAATAAAATTTTCAGAATATGTACTGAATTCACAGTGTCTTACATTGTACCTGATTAGTTTTTCCATGTATTGTCTGTAGAACAGTTTTCACTTGTTCAAAGAGCAAAGATGACATTCTGTATATATACTAATATTTCAGGTCATTTGTTGTACTTCTCAGAAGGGCAATCAGAAAAATTGTGGGGAGTCCAATCACTATAAAAAAGATTAGCAAGCTGAATGATGCCTTAGGAGACCTCATAATTTTGGATGTGGCTCATGGAAAAAAGTCCAATAAAGTTTTCAGGCACCATATGCTAAAGTACTTAACTTCAGTGCAGATCCACCCATTAGGCAAAACATGAGCCTCCCCACCTTAAATTTCATGTTGGACTTTGCATGCCATACACAAGCCTTAGAGCATGAAATGTTTTAAATAAATAATGTCTTGTTGTTTGTATATACAGTGCTCCTGTGCTGAGATCTGTGAACTTATTGGGTAGATCATAAAGCAAGAAAAAAAATAGCCCCTTAACAATAAACAGTACAAGGTAAAAAACTCACCTTATTTGTCCCCAAACTTGAAGGACCATGTAACCACATACCTTTATGTCTGGAGGTTAGTCAAGGGCAGCAGGTGTGGGTGTGGGGAATATACAGTGTTTCACAAGGCAAAATACCAGGATTAAATATAACCTGGGAAGTTTATCCTAATTTAAAAAACTAAGTTCTACTGTACTTGAAGTTTTATCCATATACTGTTTGCAACAAACATGAGTCAAAACACAAAACTAAAGAGGAGAAAGAAAAGAAACACTGAATTTTGATTTTTTTTTTTTTGGTAGTATTTAATTTCAGTTTGAATAATAACATTTTTTCTGCGTATTCTATCTACTTAATTTTCTATACAAGGAACTTAAAGCAACTATGAATGATAACTCAAGTATTTTGTCAAACCCCAGAGGAAGGAAAAGACAAGCAAAATTTCCTCTTTCACAGTGCTTTTGCATGGAAATCCACAAGATTTGGTTGTGCTTTGCTTTTCTTATACCACCAGTGGGTGCAGTGGGATAGGATGGTTTGTAGCAGCAGTTTTTGTGGCCACGGTCTCTCAAGTAGGAAGTAATTTGCATACCATGAGGGGCACCTGTAACACGGGCCTTGGGACTTCTGCCTTTTATAACAAGCAGGCACTTAGAAACTGAGGTCAGAATAGTCGCCATTATTTCACCCTCCCCTACTGATGAACACCCCATGTTTGCTGTGATGCTTCTGTATTTTATTACGGCCTACAACTGTGGATGGTAGTGTCAAAGCTCTGTTAACACCTGGGCAAGCTGATGACCGAGGACTGAAATCAGAGAACCTAAAGCACTGAGGCCTCACAGCTCTCGCTCATTATCCACACTCAAAATATCTAGGGTGAACCCAGGCCAGTAGCTGAATCTGGCTGTGCTCCCCTGGGTGGTTATTTTCAATGAAAGCAAGTTGTCTGTCGTGATGTAGGAACAAATCTACGACTGATATATTGTGTTTGTGCTATTTAAAAAATATCAACACTAATTCTGAAAGGGCTAGTAACAAAGTCTACTGTTCTCAAGGTGAAAAAATGGGAGTCTCTCCTGGACTTCTCAAAAAAAAAAAAAAAAAAAAAAAAAAGACTCATTAAAACTGCAGTGTTCCCAGCTGCTGTTTGACAAACCAGGATCTGTCAAAAGGAACAGACCACTTTTGGGGAGTAGTCAGATGATTTAAAGCCACATCAGCTGTGTGAGATACGCATAGAGAGGTGGGAGCCATTCTGTGGTAAGAGGCTGAAAGCTCTTTAAGTGAAGGGGAATCTGTGGTATTACTCCTTCCATTCAATAGAAATACAAGTCACAGAAGAAAACAGATGCCTAACCTCTATGTGGGAAGCTCATATCAACCCCAAGGGAAGACTGTGAAAGTGATTTTGTGAAATGTGTAGTCCTTTCCATGAGAATAATCAGTGCAAAGGGAAATGGGTCTTCCAAATACAATGCACCATACACATTTAACTCCTTTGCCTAAATCTAGGATTCTATTTTATGATTTGCCAGTAAATGGAGTAAACCAGTGAGCAGGATATGTGTTCTTTTTCTACAGTCACCAAAATCAAAAATTATTAAGAAATTACAACAGTGGTCACTGGGACACATGCAGCCCCTTATATCTGCTAGGAGGGTGCTTATTATGAGTGTGCAGTTACATATATACACTTGAGTGGAAAAACTAACCTTGAAAAGGCTTGTCCAGCTCTCATCCTTGCTGGAGCAAAGACCAATTTGTGTACAAGAGCTGATCTATGTTATAACAGCTCTCCTTGAGGTACCTATGTACTTCCTGGAAGAAAATAATCTCTTAGAATCACTAAGGCAGCAGTCCCAATTCTTATCTGCTTTTGTGAACGGCATCACAAGTAATGTGTTTTTGAAGTTTACTATATTACTATCACTTTAATATGAAATAATTCCTTTTTGTTTCCAAAAACCTTGCTCTTTGATGCTCTAATTTTCATAGCCTGGGTGTTGCCACAATACTGTAATACCTTTTAGAAGTATCTTTTTATAGCATGTACTGGTGTTTAAAAAAACAAAAGTAACAAAGCCACCACTGAACTACTACTATTTATGCGTAGTCCTTCCTATTTCAAGCAGAATGGCTGCCCTCTGCAGGTAACTGGTTTCAGATGAGGGTTTTAGATGTGTGCCCCCTCTTATTTCTGAGTGTGAAGGCCTTACAGGATCAACCAGTGCTATTTTATGTGTTTTAAAATTGATATTGCAATCTTGCCTGCAAAACTCAGCAAACAAATGGCACTGAGATATGTGGGCCAAGCAGCTGTTTTGCATCTGTATGTGATTTTTCCCTAAAGTGAGGGTGTGAGGGTAGTATTGGGTGGGTGTTGGAGTAAATATTTTTCCTGCAATTTGACAGTGTTTTCATTGTTGGGATTTTTATTTTATTCATTGTTCATGACAATAAGGTAGCTATAAAGTTATATTCTGTAGTAGCCTGCTATTTGAATGGAATGAACAGGCAAAAAGGATACACTGCTGAGAAGACATCTTGCTCACCTTAAAGGTCACTTATGTTCCACCTTTTTTCTTTTTCTCTGCAGTCAGTTGTGCCTATGTAGGTTATAGTGTGTAAGTTCTCTGAGTGGACTGTGTGAAGAGGAAGCTCTGTGCCTCTCTGAGGCAGAAGTGCTGTGAAGTTGCTCTTTCTCCTGGCTGTGTAACACACAGTTTGCTCAGTGACACTCAGTGTGGACGGAGGGGAGGAGGGAAACGGGGTGGGGGGGGTGGGGGGTGAGATCTGAGGTGCACCTGATGTCATATCAGGTAGTAACAAAGCCTTGCAGCTGGGCAGCAGCCAGCAGTGCAGCAGGTTTGGGACCAGCAGAGCATGTGGGGACCAGCCAAGACATCAGCTACCTGCTTCTTTGGGAGAGAGGGACATTGGCAAACTTGCTGGCAGCAGCTCAACATAAAGGTCTGAGAGGAACCCAGCTGCAACTTTAATCTGAATGCGTGTATTTGTTTTCTCTTTCCGCTCTCCTGTCACTGCAGTGACCATCTCCTGGCCGAGCACAACACTCCATCTCATCCCAAGATGCTTTTTTGGCACAGCCAGCCCGAACATTATCACCATCACCAGTATCCCACCAGTAACAACAGCTACTTGCGGTAAGAGAAGAATGGGCATGACTTTTAATCATAATAATAATTATAATGCTATAGCACACAAGAATGCAGACTGTATGGCCTTTGCTAATTCACAAGTTCAAGCCTTCAAATAGAGCTGGTGATCTGAAAATAATTTGTGCAGTACAGTCAACATAGTGGAGATTTACTTTACTACAGCTCTACAGTTTTCACAAGCCATGACACCACGTGTGCTAGTAACAGTGATAGGAATGTTTTGCTGCTTAATATGATACAGATGTGGTATTTTTTTGTTTCTTTTTCTAATTACATTTGCAGTCTGTAGATAAAATCTGTTTATATGAAGTAATACAGACTTAGAAATACCTTGATGTTTCACATCTACTTTGATTATTTGCTGAAGCTCAATTGATCTGCAGGACCAGGACTATGGGCTGCTTGTTATATCAGTCCAGGCACACTGCCTAAATAAATGCTTTGCATTGAAATTCTGATGCAATGTACAGGTTATTGCATCAGCATATTCCTGTGAGCTATGAACCTAATGTACCTCTTTGTGACTAAAATATTTTTTGTCTACAATATTCAAATTTTTCTTATAATTAAAAAGGATTATGCTTTGACAAAAGCTAGGCTCATAGATTCCTGAATCTTGACGTTAATTGAGTTTCAATTTAAAGTGGGGTCTACTCTTTTTATTAAACTTTAGCTTATTACTTTTTGGCTAAAAATAATGTATGTAAACATGATAGTGTGTAATCATTTATCTTGACATGGCTCTTTCTATGTTGGTAGTCGCACACTGTTGTATCACAGCATTACTTCTGCTCTTGTCGAACTGTTGAGTAGCATGTTTTTATTAGAAACGTATTAAGTTTTAGATTTTAAAACAAACAAACAAACAAACAAGCAAACCCCAAAGGAATTGAGGGTTCTAAAGTGTGAAACTAATGAAACTGCAGTGGCATTTTATAAAATCAATCCACCTCAGTACAAAGGCCAGAGCAAGTTGAAATTTAGATTGGCTAACACAAATACCTAGCAAACACAATGCTGTTTCTATTGACTCAAGCAATAAACCAGAAATGAAGGACAGGTGCTCAAGTTCCCTGATGCAATCCTGTTTGCAAGTGACATGCACAGTTCCCAGGGGAAAAGGAACCAAACCACCAGGGAAAGTGAGGATGTCCACTCACACCTCCAGTCCTCCCTCTGTTCAGCCTCAGGGAGGTGTGTCCCTTCCTAGCTTTCCTCAGGGCCTTGTTCTCTCTCAGGGCCTGTTTTTCACCATGTCCTTGTCTTTCTTCATTGCTTCTGTTTTCCCACCCTTATCCAAAAATCTACCATTTGAGTCCCTCTGAAGACGCTCTTCCCACACGCTTTTGAGCACCTTCCTTTAGTTTTGGAGGCAGCCTGCATCTGTGTTTTGGTATTGAAATACATTATAGGGGGGGATACTTCTATCAGTTAAGGGCTGTGTACAGGAGCTCACAAGATTGCCCTTTGAGGCCGACTGTTTTGAGCAGGAAGAGCACAAACCAGCTCAGGCACAAGGCTTCAGTCTGGTCATAATCGTCAAGTTGCTTGGCTCTGTCCTTAGTGCTTTACCCTCAGCGAAGCACCACACTTCAGTCCGACATCCTGACGTCAGTAAGGTTTATACAGAAGAAGCATTTGACTCAGGGTAGGATGCCAGCCAGCATTAGTGATGAGCAGATGGAGCAAGGAGTGTCCTAGGATCCCCACATCCCAGCAGAACTACACTTGGAACACCTTTATGCAGATATGTCTGCAAAATGAGGCTCACACTGCCTGCACTTGCTCTCTGTTAGATCATGTCTCCAATTCCCATTAGTGGATCTGCAGAAATGGAACAGCAGGGCCACAGGGAATGTCACCTCTGACAGGTTAGACCTGTGGATTTGGCCTGCTCAGAGTGTTAGAGAAGCAATTTGAAATCTCAAAATTCTTAACTCCTTTTTTAGACAATTACACCAGGCACATAGAAATCTTTAGACATTTGTCATGTCACCAAAGCTTGGGAGAGAGCCAGGAGGAAAGTTGTATCATTCTATAAAGCATATGGAGTCTTCTCTGTCCCACAGCCTCTGCTCTCAGCCATACCAATAACTAAATATTTAACAATTTAGGCAAAAAATCTGTAATCTCAAAACTGGTGCAGGTACCTAACTTGTGGGACTCTGCATGGGGCTTATATTGTCTATGTTGCAGAATATGAATTTTATTAGGGAAAAAGGCATCAAAAATCTACCAAATATGCATAGCATGTAGGTTTTCAGATAAAAGAAAAAAATGTCTTCACTTTAATATTCATATTTTAACAGAAAAAGGACACTTTATGTCCTAAAAATACCTAAAGATAACATCTTCAGAAATGCTGTCAGTTTGTTTATCATGGACAAGCTACACCCAACTTTTTAAGACTGAACTGCAAGAGGATGGGTCTCACTGTATCCACTCAAGATACCCTTAGGAGAGGTTGGAATTTATGTCAGAAAAAACCCAATTCCCAGTATAAAGTTCTCACCAATTTATGATCTTGTAACTGCTACATAGCTATGTTAATGCAAGTCTAGTAAGCAGATAAACCAGTTTTGCTATGCATAAATCAATCTATATGTGGATTCTCTGGTCTTGGATCCTGTCTTAACTTATCTGACTGTCAGAAGTAGAAAGTGCATTACTGTTGGTTTCCCGCAAACCACCGCCTTCTTTTGTACAATTTACAAAAGTGGGTTTTAGTGCTATTTCTGCTACCTTATTATGAAGTCCACTTTAGGTCCACACAAAGTCTGAGTTCTCAACTAAAACTCTAATCCTTCAGTGACAGGAGTTTTAGCTAACTTGGTAGTGACTACTGTTGTATGCTGAATAATGCCTACTAATTTATTAAGTGGACCATAAACATCTCATAATAGTCAATGAAATTAATTAACGCCATCATTTGGGTTGTTGCCACCTTCAGAAGTGCTAATAATTAATAAAGTGCTAATAAAATGCTAATAATAGTAAATTAAGGATTTCAGGGAATTCTTGTCAGGCTTAAAAGAGGAATTTTCCCTGTGGTAATTTCAGTTCTTCTCACTAATAGCTGTAACGTGGTAGCTAGTACCTATGCTAATGACTTGTCTATGAGCCCATGCCCTCTTCATAAATTTCCCTTTTTAAAGCTTCCCCTTATATGCAGATGAACTATTCATCTGTCCCCAGACAGGCAGAGAACTCTTACAGCAATTACAGCAGCAAAAAATACCAGTACCTTTTTTTGGAGAGGCTGGCAGTTGTATTTTAACTTAACAAATTGCCTTTAAAGATCATAAATCATGGTCTGTGTGATTCTCTTTATCTTTGAGGATGTCATATGCACATTTTGAACAACAGCTAGTATTTTGTTAATCATTAATGAACTTAGGGCCTTCCTGACTTTATCTTTTGCAAAACTTGTGCAATTGTACTTAAAGCATGATCAAAATATGTTTTACAGTCTCAGTACTTTTCTGTAGTTTGCTCTCTGGATCTATCATTTTAATGAAACATCTCATAAAATTATTTAACTATCCTCTGAATTATTAATGCATGATGGGTTTTCGAGAACCCTTCTTTACATCAAGTCATGGGTTACTTACCCTATTTGATGACAAGAGGGAACAGAATTAGGATTATAATCTACATCACTGGCAGTTCCAGCTCTTCCTTGCATCCCTTCTAGTTTTTCCAACTGCCAGGCCACTATGATCAGTACAAATTATTTATCAAAAGCTTAGCTGCCTCCTGGGACCTTTCCTTGGAGAGTATAGAATAACCAATTCTAATAACAGCATAAAATCAATCAACTTTAGTAATTTTTACAATTTATAAATTCATATCCCAGAAAGAGAAATTTGATGCTACTTGAATACACCTGTATCAAACTCAGTTTGGCCTGTTAAATGCTGGTCTTAATGCAGCTAAAAGCCTAAAAAATTGACTTAAGTTGCTATAAAATGGGCTGAGAAACAAATCAAAGGCCAGACAGAAACAGAGGAAATGAAAGAATTTTCTTCGCTTGGTACTCTGAGTACCAAGCGCTTTCCACTCCACCACAGGTGGGTGCATTTCACCTGAAGATTATGACAGCCATCTGTGCCTATCACAGGTCCATTTACAGCTGCTCCCTTCTAGCAATTAGTGATAAGAGGGCTCTGACCTGAGCCCATGCTTATCTGGGCTTTGGTCATTTATGAGGTAGCCCTGCCTGCAGGTGCCAAGTGAGCCTTCACCTCTGTGAACACCTTTGTTTTAACAAGCCGGAGATTGAATCCAGGATGATGAGGTTTTAGAGTTTTTCCCCCTCAAATTAATTAGTGTGTGTATTGCTTTAGGTTGTATACTATATATAAAGCATAAATATTTTTCTGCCTCACAGGTACTGCTTTGTCTTTTTATTGATCTTCCCGCAGTACTGACTGGTCATTTAGACTGCAACAGGGTAATCCTTCATAGGGGAGATCTCATAGCCAATCGACAGCTTCCCTATGACAGGAAGCAAAGGGGCAGGCACTGATCTCTTTGCGACAGTGCCCAAGGGAATTGCCTGAAGTTGTGTCAGGGGAGGTTTAGGTTGGATATTAGCAAAATGTTCTTCAACCAGAGGGTGGTTGGGTGTTGCAAGAGGCTCTCCAGGGAAGTGGTCACAGCACCAAGCCTGACAGAGTTCAAGAAGCATTTGGACAATGCTCTCAGGCACATGGTGTGACTCTTGGGGTGTCCTGCGCAGGGCCAGGAGTTGGACTACTCGGCCCTCATGAGGCCACATTTGGAGTGCTGTGTCCAGTTCTGGACTCCTGGACTCCTCCTTACTCCAAGTAAGACTTGGAGGTCCTGGAGCGGGTCCAGCAGAGGGCAACAAAGATGATTAAGGGACTGGAGCATCTCTCTTACAAGGACAGGATGAGAGAGATGGGCCTGTTCAGCCTCGAGATGACTGAGAGGGGAATCTTAACAATGTCTGTAAGTATCTG